AGAAGACAGCAACCCAGAAGAAACAGGGAGAAACTACAAGAAAGAGAAAAGGGAATGTCAGAAGGGTCCTGGAGAGAAACTTACCTTGGAAGATGAAGTGAGTTAACAAAGGAGGACTTTGAGTCAGTGAGTCTGATACCTGAAGACATCGAGTAACATCCCAGAGACTTAAAATTAAGAGAAAGGAATGAGAGTGGATGAAAACTAACAAAAAGAAGAGAACCCCACAATTTTGACATCAGTAGTAAATACAAGGTGACCTAGGATTGCTATTTGCTTGGGACCCATGTGGAGGAGAACAGGGCAAGCAACAAAGAAATTGAGAGTTCTCAAAGAGAGAGGGAACTAAATATGTATAAGATGTAATGTATCTAAGAGAAACATAATAGTTGTGCAGACGAGTTATTTTTGTTGAACTGCAGACACGCTATCTTCCTCATCTCTCAGGACTGTGTTTATTTCTGTATCTTATTCCATCAAAGTCGTGGCGGGTGAGAAATAAAAGAAATTAACCAGTTCATATTAAAACAAGAGATGGTGATTTATTTTGCGGGTGTAGCTTAAGTCTCACAAGATACCAATATTAATGTTATTAAAGTTATTAATGATGCATCTCCTGAAAACAGAACTTGTCAATGGATCCTCGACCAGAACATTGACACTTCCATCCCATTTGGATCAAAAAAAATGTTCCAAACCATGGAATAAGGGAAATTCAGGATAAAAATACTGGCAACATGGTATTTACAGAATGGTGTTGTGCACACCATTTACAAATCCAATGCATTTTTTTTACCCTGGTGGGAAAAACATTGCCGGTATTTAAAGACTATGTATCATGTTGACATCTCAAGATGTGTTTGGGAAACATCTCTAGCTAGTTGCACTAATCCTAAGACTGCCTCAGACATTATATCATGGGTCGACTTTAATCCTGTCCTAGATGAAAAAATCCAAAGGATACATGTACTAATAAATAACAGTTCGACTGGTGTGAAGGGTATACAACCAAATGAATAGTGAAAACAGAAGAAATATGGTACCAGGCTAAAATAGGTAAACACTTCTGTGCAGTACAGGTGGGAGGAAGAAATAATGTTACAGGAATTAGTGAAGAGAAGTATAATGAAATTACAATGAACATATGGGTCTCCTCAACCCATGTAGAAGCTTGGCAGTGGGATACAGGAGTATATAATTCCACCCATTCAGAATGTGGCTTCCAGGTACAATGGGTAAACAAGATTATATTTGAATGCTATGGGAACAGTGCACTTTTATCTGAATTACCAGCAATAAGCATTAATGAGGATTATGATGACCAGAACTTAGAAATCATTCCTCCATGTGGTGTTATGATGGTAGGAGGGTTTTCATGGTCATTGCATAACCCTGTTGAGGTCATAGTTGGGAAAAATGTTTTCAGGTGCTAGCAGAGTGATCTGGTTAAAAACACAAAGAAGACATAGTCTTACATACACCAGGAAAATGGAAAGCTTTTTCATTATCCAAAATACATTGTTCACAAGGAAGCTGGAAGCTATTACGTGATGAGTTCCATATGGCAGGGCCACCCCAGTGGAACATGTTAGTTAGAAACCATGAATGTCCTCGTAATTCTTCAAAGCTCAGTTTTAATTTTTTTGTTGGGAAATATTTCAACATGTTCCACTTATGGAAGGGGGTTATACAGTCATTTAATCATGGAACTCTATTAACTCTATTAATATTCCATTGTTGGTAAATATGACAAAAATACCTTAAAGTGGTTAAACATACAGAATGACATATAATTGGACCCCATATCATCAAACTAAACCATAATGAACAAGTTCTTTTGGGCCCTCAGCAATCCATCAAAGAAATTCAAATAGACTTAAGGGGTTTGAACTTATCTGCTGGTGTTCCAAAGTGTGCTCCTTTTATACTGTCAAGCCATCAGGGTTGGAGGCTTTGGCTGGATTTATGGTATATTAAAACTACACAGGTGTTTACCTACAGGCAAAGAAGAGATATTATGACAAGTGGCCTGAGTGGAGCTGCATTAGAAGCAGTGGTTTTGAACAGTGTTAACATTGAAGTTTTAGCTAATAAACTAGGCTATGCTACAGCTGAATTGCAAAGAATTGGGAAACCCTTAATGAATTCACATCTTGGAATTGGGGCACAGCTAGTGGGAGACATCCTGCTTATACTCCAAGAAATGGAAGAAGAAGACCATCAAATTATAGTTGCAGCAATTGATAAATTAATTTGGTACAATGTTTCTCTAGTCTTGGCCTGTACAGAGGCTCAAGCTTTAAGCCAAACAGAGTCACTCAAATCATCTGCTCTGGCCTTCAGGGCCATTTGCCAATAGAGCTTAAAAATTTGTTTGGAACAATGCCACTCAAGGAGAAAAAGATGTTTCCAGGTGGTGGAAGTTAGTATCTTTTATCTATAGTAAATCAAACCAACAAATTTGGCTCATGTGGTTACTATTAGTGCCACTTAGTTTCATAGTTTCATAGATTAAGGGTCGGAAGGGACCTAGTAGATCATCTATCCCGACCCCCCGCCAGGGTGGGAGAACAACAAAAACCCCAAAACAAGAAACGGGACTCAAATGAATCCAGCCAGGTAGGCATTCAGTCTCTTCTTAAAGACCCCCAGGGTAGGGGCCAGCACCACTTCCCTTGGAAGTTGGTTCCAGCTCCTAGCCGCCCTAACTGTGAAGTAGTTTTTGCGGATGTCCAATCTATACCTCCTCTCCATCAACTTGTGCCCATTACTCCTTGTTATGCCAGCGGGCGCTAGGGGAAACAGCGTCTCCCCCAAACCCTTCTGGTCCCCCCTAGTGAGT